CCTGAATACTCAGAAAACAAAGGCCAAGTGGATATTGTTATTGGGAAGATGCAAGTTGCTGGTGGTGTTGTGCTCACAGAATTACCTACTTGCATCCATGTGACTCCAGTGCTCCGGCTTCCCTGGGGAAGTTAGCATCCAACTTCAGCTGTAGGGTCAAAAGTTGGATGGGCCTTTCAGAAGTCAAAGGTTATTATTTCACAGTTTCTTCTTATTTCTTCATTGACATTCTATGTGACAGACCCCTTATCTCTTCAGATTACTGTGAACTCATGGTAGAAATTTTGGAATTTTAACACGAAGAAAATAAGTTCTTATAAGTCTTATCTGTAATGTCATCATTTTTCCTAGGACTTCTTTTTTTTAAAGCAGGCTCTAAGTTTTACTAAAAAAAAAAACTCACTGAGTTAAGACATAGTTCGTTAAGGATGAGGTCAAAGGCAGTGTTGAAGGTCACCCTGTGGGTTTTGTGTCGGGTCCATCTGATTTACATGCCTAAGCATGGGACCCCTTAAGGTTATCCAGCCCCTGGGAAGTAAAGCTTTCCAAATGAGGTTGACTTTGGAGTGACTAGCTGCCAAGTAGACCTGTCCCACTTGCAGAGCACCTAAGAAATGAACGCTTCAAAGGATACTGTCCCAAATGTGTCCCTTGTCTGTGATAATTCACAGGCAAGAATCCTAACCCAGATGCTACTATGAGGGAAATGATGCCAGTTTTTTTTTTTTTTTAATTCTGGAAAGCGAATCATGAAATCAGGATAACCTTAACATTGCACTGGTATTTTGTAATTTTATGAACTCTTCATCAAAGTGGGATTAGGTCAGCTATAAAGAGCTCAGTACCATGTCAGATTATGTTTTCTTTGTAAAGATTTGTTTGTTTTTATTGCAAAGTCAGATATACAGAGAGGAAAATCTTGCATCTGATGATTCACTCCCCAAGTGACCGCAACAGCTTGTGTTGCACCACTCCGAAGCCAGGAGCCAGGAACTTCTTCCAGGTCTCCCACGTGGGTGCAGGGTCCCAAGGCTTTGGGCCATCCTCTCCTGCTTTCCCAGGCCACAAGCAGGGAGCAGGATGGGAAGTGGAGCTGCTGGGACTAGAACCATCACCCATATGGGATCCGAGTGCGTTCAAGGTAAGGTCTTCGGCTGCTAGGCTACTGCGCTGGGCCCATCAGATTATGTATAAAGTTAAAGCTGCCAGATGCGTCTCCTGGAGGCAGGAGTGCAGGGGTGCTATTGAGAATGCTGTAGGATGGAGCTGAGAGGAAATCCAGGAATCAGACTCTTATTAATCTCTTCTAGATCCCAGTCCATACCATGAGAACTTGCTCTGATATAAACAGATACCTCTGGATAAAAGGTCTAGTGAATTCATTTACTAATCAGAATTTCCTCTGGAAGCTTTTAAAAGTAATTTCCATTTTCTGTTATTCAGATTGCTTAAATTTTATATGTCTTTCAATAGCTTCTAATAAATACAAGCCCTGAAGTTGCCAAATTAATTCAAGGCTTTCAAGATGCTACTCACAAATGGAATAGATGGTTAGGAGAAAGTATGCCAGTAGTAGGGGGTGTTGAGTAACACCAGGGCAGAATGCATTCTTATTTTATGATTTTGAAACTTGGAATCTGAACTGCCAGCATAAACTCATGTCAGTACTCTTATCAACAGTTTTTACTTGTGATAGTTTGCTTTGCCAGCAGTTTGCCTCTTCCAAATGGAAAAAAAATGGTCTTGAAAATGAGAGCAAAAACATTTGTTTTAATCTAACCCGAATTACTGGCTAATCCTTGTTACTAAAGGCTGAGAATGGGTTTTCGAATTTAAATCAATTATATTTGACTTCCAATCAAATCAAAGTTATTGAGGATACCGTACGTTGTAGCAGATATATTTGTTGTCTTTGGGAATTTGAGGTAACTCACTTATCAACAGCTGCAAAAATGGAATAGACCCAATATATTTGGAGCTAAGTTCTTTGCAGTGAGAACATTTTTGGATTTTCTGGTCCAGCTCTACCAGTAGGAAGAAGAAAACATCATAAATACATTAGTTTTTGTTTTGTTTGTTTGTTTTGTATAGGAAGAATACTTTTCCCAAGGACTGTGAAATGGGTGAGAGTAAGGGTAAAAGACATGTTGACAAGTATAAAGGCAATGCAAGAGGGAAAACAATTATCACCAGTTGCATGAGGCCCCCACCTCTACACTGTTGGCATTTGAGCTTTGTTGTAGAGTCTGCTTGTGCACTGCAGGGTATTTGGCATCACACCAGGTTTTAAACCTCCAAACGCCAGCAGAAATATTTTCCTGCTTGTGAAAATTTTAAAAAGTCGCTAGACATTTTGAAGTGTTTCCTTGGGAGATAAGTGTGCCCCTGGTGGAAAACTACTGAGGTGGACTTCACGGCAGTCCCTGAGGTCACATTCCAGTTAGCTGCTCAGGATCGCACAGCACAAAAGGCAGGTGGATGGAGAGCTGTGCTTGATGGACATGTTTTCGATATGTGTTTGCATTTGGGAAGTGTTGAAACAAAGACATAGCTCCTACGTGTATGTTGTATTGACTGGAAGTAGTTCTTTGTTCTTTTCAGACTAGAATTAAATCAATGTAATGGGATTGCTAATAATGTAGTTGATGAAATGGTCTTCTATTTTTCTGCCTCAGAAAAGTCTTAAGTAAATTGGGAGGACTGTCAAGAGTTTTTCTCTAAAATTAACAGTCATAGAACAGAACACTGGGTGTAACTTTCACTTTCACTAAATGTTACTGCACAGTAAAGGCTACTTGGAAAATCATGACATCTTTGGTGTCTGTCTTCATATGTTGTAGGCTAATGTCATCCTGTGGCAGAATCTGTCAGTAGTCACCATGTAACTTTCTGATCTTACACATTTGTAAGTCTCCTTTGCAGATAAGTTGGGGGTTAAGTTGAGTCCAGTGAAATGGGATGCAGAGTTAACTTTTGGACTGAGGAAATTAAAAACCAGAAGGCCCCATGCCAATATACATGCTTATAAACCAAAGAGACAGCTGTCCCTCTGTTTCAGGGTCTCTGTCATTTATTCCCTTTCTGAGACATTTATCGTTTGGGCGTCAGGCTTTCTGAATTGATCTGCTGAATTATCTTGTCTTCCTAAATGCCATCATTACATCGATTTTGCTTTTTACAATTCAGCTGAAACTCAGCCACATAGAATAGAAGGTTCAACTCAATCTGGAGAGTACAGGTGCCTACCTGTTGCTTTTCTTCATGTTAGTATTACTATGGTGAGAAAATCATATCAGCTAAATGATTATTTGGGATAATGCCCTACATATTCTAGCATATTCTACCATGAAGCCGGGTCAAAATATTTGGGGAGTGTTTACTCAATGGATAAAGGATGCAATGACAACACTTCATATTCAGGAGACAGTAAATAGACCATGACTGTTGAGAGCGTAGTCTCTGTTACCAACTTTCTAGATGTGAATCCCAGCTTTGGAACATAGGAGGTAAGGGATCTTTGATGAGTCACATTAACTCTCTGACCTTGACTTTTTGATCTGTAAATGGATTTAGTAGTTTGTGGTTGTTTACAAAACTTTAGGAGAGTATCTTTTCTGTAGGATAATTCCCATTCTCTCTCCCTCTTTCTCTCTCACTTTCTCCTTCTTTCTCACCTCTCCTCCCTTCTTCTTTCTCTTCTCCTCTCTCCATCTCTTTTCACTCTCTCCTTCACTTTATTTCCTTCTTTGGTAACCTCCTGTTGATTTACTGGCTCCCCCTAACTGGGTCATTCTGTAAATACTTGCAATGACTAGGGTTGAGCTATATCAAAGCCAGGGCCAGGAGCTCAATCGGAGCCTTCCACTTGCATGATAAACACTGAAATACTTGTTACTAGTATCTGCTATCTCTCTGATTCTACATTAGCAAGAAGTCAACCTCAGGAGCAGGGCCAGGACTCAAACCCAGGCAAACTGATATGCGATGCAGCTGTCCCAAAGGGTGCCTGAAATGCTAGACAAAATCGCCAACCTTTAAAGTACTTCTTTTATTGTAGATGTTATGTATCTGTTATCAGTTGAACTTGGAATCAGAAGAATTATAGGGAACCTTGGGGTCAAAAATTTTTTGATCCTTTCTGTGAGCCTGTCTTATTTCTCATTGTATTTTCACAGCTAGCATGAATCAGCTAAGAGTTTTCATCATTGTAGTTGCTTCATCTTTCCTTCTCAACACAGGGCTGCTGCTAACTCATACAGTACAGCAAAGGCATCCATTGCTGTGGGCAGTTACACATCCCCATCAGCATGCCTCACGTGGCAAGCAGAGCATGAGCTGGATCTCATTCCCCCCATGCCAGTGGGGGCAAGTCCGGCTATTTTCAGTCTGCCAGAAGGCCAGTGCCATCGCGGCGCTTTATTCCCAGAAGAAAACCTGGGGGTGGGAGGGACTCACTCACACTACAGCGTGAATTGATTCACTCACTTGTATTGAATTTCCAGTCATTATAATTTACTGCTTTGATTTCTTTGACTTCATTTGCTGCCCTGAAAGACTTGGGGTCTTGGGAAGGAGGGGTTGCACCAAACCATCACATGAAATTCTAGGAAGGAAAAGCAAACAGCAGATGTGTCAAAATATGAGCCATGTGGATGTTGTCACTTGCGATGGGAGGAAGTCACTCAAGTATGGGGAAAGGTAAGAGAAGAACAAAGAACCGAAACTGTGGCCTGAGACCCTGGATTTTCACAGATCACCAGAAAGGGTAGAAGTGGGTGAAAGTGCTTGAAAAGAAAAGGAGAATATGCAACTTGGAAGAAGAAGACAGAGAGGTAGTGACCCTCCCAAAAGAAATGGAGACGAAATAAAACCAAAATCTCTGCTTTTTTATTAACTGTGGGAGCCACACTTGGTTGTGCAAAGCATCATACTAACCTATGGTCTGCTCAAAGCAGGGCTAGCATTCCTGTTTTCTCATGGATCAACCTCGTGTCTTGCAGGTGAAGGCCTCCGATGAGGATGCCGGGCTCTATGGCCTTGTGGAGTATGAACTTTACAACGGGTTCCAAAGCCAGGAAGCTCCTCACGCATTCCGCATTGACCCTGAGGATGGGCGGATCTGTGTTTCTCAAGATATGGACAGGGAGAGGGATCCAGCCACCTACGATCTCCTGGTGAAAGCAAAGGACGGGGTAAGTCTCTGTGTGTGAAATTCTGAACATACTCAAAAGCAAATCATTGTTAACACATCACCATGATCATTGCCAACTGGTCAACCTTGTTTTATGTATCACTTCCACTTTGCTTTCTTGAAAAATTTTGAGGCAAATACCATGCATTTATAGATTTTGTCCCTAAGTAGTTCAATAATGTCTTTAACAGTTAATCATTTAAAAACAAAACTGCAATATATTTATAATATTTATGTGTAAGAAAATATATAGGAATCAAATAACTAAATAGAAATTCTTCTAACTAAAGAACTAACTTCATTGTGGAACAAATTTTCATGAAAATCATCCATAAATTGTATAACACATTTTGGCATGAATTTTCTGAAGGATTTTGAACACACAGAAATATCAATTTAGAAATACATAGATTCAGAGGCAATTGTAGATCATCCTGGAGTTGAATATGCAGTTTAAATACAATACAGCTATGACCAAACATCTATTTCTTTTTTTTTTTTTTAAAGATTTATTTTTATTATTTTTTCATTGGAAAGGCGGATATACAGAGAGGAGAGACAGAGAGGAAGATCTTCCGTCCGATGATTCACTCCCCAAGTGAGCGCAACGGGCCGATACTATGCCGATCCGAAGCCAGGAGCCTCTTCCGGGTCTCCCACGCGGGTGCAGGTTCCCAAAGCTTTGGGCCGTCCTCGACTGCCTTCCCGGGCCACAGGCAGGGAGCTGGAAGGGAAGCGGGGCTGCCGGGATTAGAACCGGCGCCCATATGGGATCCCGGGCGTGCAAGGCGAGGACCTTTAACCACTTGCGCCACCGCGCCGGGCCCCAAACATCTATTTCTAATTAGTCTCAGAAGATCATGTTAAAATTACCTTTATACACAAAAAAATTATTTCATTTCAAAGTATCTTATGGTCTAAGTAGTATACTAATTAGTAATATTGATAGTGGAATATTAAAATTGCTTCTATTTATTTTCATCTTCTTGAAAGGCAGAGGGAGAACAAGACAGAGATCTTCCATTTGCTGGTTCACTTCCCAGACGGCTGCAATGGGCAGTGCTTGGCCAGGCTGAAACCAAGAGCCAGTAGTAACTCAAGCTGAGTCTCCCATGAGACTAGCCTGGACAGGGTTGCACATTAAGAGAAAGCTGTGCTGGGACTTGGAACAGTAACCTAATGGCTAAATCCTCGCCTTGCAAGCACCGAGATCTCATGTGGGCACCAGTTCAAGTCCCTGCTGCTCCACTTCCCATCCAGCTCCCTACTTGTAGCCTGGGAAAGCAGGAGAGGATAGCCTAAGACCTTGGGACCTTGTACCTCATGTGGCAGACCTGGAAGTTGACCCACTCAGCACTGTCCACTTGGGTGGTGAACTAGCAGACAGAAAATCTTTCTGCTCTCCTTCTCTCTATAAATCTGACTTTCCAACAGAATAAAATAAATCAGAGAGAGAGGGGGAGAACTGGACCAGTAGCATAATAGCTGGGATTTGAACCACACACTCCCGTGAAAAGTGTGGGCTTGTCAAGCATCAGCTTAAGGGTTGTTGTGTCACATAGCTACCTCATGCAGCCATATATTTCATTTAAAACAACTTGCTTGTGTTTCCATATTGAACCTACTCTAAGGACTCTGTGAAAAATGTTTTTTTTTCTTTCCCTCAGCATTCTGTTGTCAATGGTGTCATTAAGTCCATCTTTAACTATAAAATTCCTTCCTAAATCTCTAGTCTGCCTCTCCATTTACAGATTTCCTTCCTCCTCCAAATCCAACTACTTCAGATAATCTTGAACTTTGAATACATTTCCACCAAGGTCTTTGAGGCTTCTGTCTTTCATAGGTATTTAGAGTCATTGATCATTTCCACTTTCTTGCATCTAAATTCATTACTGCATGGGCTTTGTCCAAAGTCTGGATGACCACATGTAGGACCAAGCAATGTTCGTCATGGGAGAACTGAAGGCCCCCACATCTCACGGGCCTGCAGTCTCCACCACAGCCTGGGGAGCTGAGACCCTGTCCGAGGTGGGTATGGGATTTCTGTTTATTTATTTCTTGAATTAAAGTTCAAGAGAGTCTTCTGAAAATGCTCTTTGTTGTTACACAAGTAAGGGTTGGGCCATGAAAATATGCCCCTCTGAAAAGGACCAATCCATTGTTCTTGGGATCTTCAGAGAATGCCTTTGACCTTGATGGTGGGGGATAACATGGTATGTCTACAGTTAAAGTCTTTTTAGCTTGTAGTGTATGGAAATGAGTTATCTGAGCCTCAGGGATTCCTCCTTGCCTGAACACTCCAGTGCCTTCTCCATTCTCAGTCACCTTCTCCGTCTTGCCCTCCTGTCCATTTGGTGCATCAGAGGTCACATGCAGATCCAAGGAAGGAACTGCTCACAGGGACCTCCTGGAAGCAGGTGATCATGTCAGAGTGTGATGCACCAGAGCCCATGGTGAATTTTCATTGTTTATTCATTTATTTGAATGATTTGGAAGGCAAAGAGACATGGAGAGAAATCTACCACTCACAATAGCCTAGGATGACTGGGGTTGGGCCAGGCCAAAGCTGAGAGCGAAGAACTCTGAGTCTTTCAGGTGGGTGGCAGAAAGCAACTTACTGGAGCCCTCCCTTGCTGCCTCCAGAGACACATCAATAGGAAGCTGGAGTCGGGCGCAGAGCCAGCACTTCAACCTGGGCACTTCTGATACAGGATTCAAGCATCCCATGATGTGTCCTCACTACTACTCTAAATGTCTGCTTCAAGGAGGCATTTTTAAAGACAAATTCTAGAAAAGCCTTTCTTCTCTCCCTCCTTTTCTCCTTTTACCAGCTTCCTGATGGTCTCTCTGCTTATACTTGAAACTACCTCTAGTATTCTTGATGTTCACTTCAGAATACGTGGAGGTTGGGCAACACTCACATATCTTGTGAGTCTGTGTGTATGGACAGACATAGAGAACACATCAATAGACATGCATACACAGGTGATGGTGGGGTATAGTGTTCATCTGTTGACTGCAGCATCTTACTGGCTTTCCTCTGTGACAGACTGGGAAGTTTCAGTGGGCTGACATCTGTATGTGTTGTAATTATTCCGGGCAGGGTCTGCCAACAGCTCACGGCTCTCTGAAAGATACAACCCAAGACAGGGCCTAGGTGAGGAGCACAGTGTTGGTGATGACTCAGTCGGCTGCCTCTGAAAGCAATCCTAATGACATGTAAGCAATAAATGATTCAGGCAAGATGTTTTAGATTCAAGGTGCTGAATTCCAAGCCATAATGAATTGTTTAAGACAATAGACTGTGCCTTGGCCAAAGCCCTTTCACTTTACCTAATTACCTCAACAATTTGTGTTTTCTTCTTTGATCCTTTCTCTGTTTAATGAATGTCCTGAGAGCCCTTTGGCAAAAACAAACAAAACCAACAACAACAAACCTGCTGAGAACCCGTTTGTCCACGATCACTAAATGATTTTTATCTGCTAGTAAAAGAATTTCTCTTGTAAAATGGTCTTTGTGCTGTGGGCTTCTCTGTGCTGCCCTATTTATCTTTGTGATGACTGTCGATAGTTTTTAACTCCATGATTTCTCCTACTCTGTTGAGATTGCTTCTGCAACATTCTCTATCTGCAGCTCCTGTTCCTGTTATTTATCTGCTACAGAGAAGTCCTCAGAATGCCATAAAATCTCATAACGGGATCAAATGCTTCTTTACAATAAAGTCTTATAATCTAAGTATTACATCCTTATTTTTCATTTCTTCTTTTCTCCATTTTTTTTTAAAGAAAAGTTGTATTTATTCTTTGAAAATCAGTTAGGGGGAGGGAGAAAAAAAGGGAAAGAGAATATGTGTGTGTGTTTGAGAAAGAAAGAGATCTTCACTCCCCAAGGGATTGCACCAACCAGGGGTGGGCTAGGTTGAAGCCAGGCTCAGGAGCATCACCTGATCTCCCACGGGGGTGCAAAGGCCCAGACATTTGGGCTGTCTTCCTCTGCTTTCCCAGGTGCATTGTCAGAGAGCTATACTGAAAATGGAGCAACTAAGACTGAAACTGGTGTACATGTGGACTGCTAGCACTTATTGGGCCACAGCGCCAGCCCCTCCCTATGCACTTTTACCAAATGAATTCTGATATATGCTGCATTTGTGTGTGTGTGTGTAATACATAACTATGTGTTTATTAACATTCTTTCTTGGGAATTTGGTATATGCAGTAACTGAGAAGGTGTCTGAGATAAAGCATTTGCACTCTCTCTCTCACCACTGTAGGCTTAAGGGAGGATTTTATCAGAGCAATTTATAAAGTTAATTGATTTAGCTCTTTACCATTGCACTAGGATACACTCATGGTGAAAGTTGGACACTGAAATTGTCCTACATAGTTTGTGTGCAATACAGGACTATCATGAACACACTTGCTGAGTAAAAGAATACATTCATCTGAATGGATGCTTATCTCATTTTACAAAAAGTGTTCAAATGTTGTGTTTTATTTCATTGGTCACCATTACCCACCCATTTCAGGAAGCAGCAATTCCCTACTTGCCCGACGTTTTAGAACTAGCTAACCGGGTCAATGTCTTAAAATTGATTGCCTGCCACCCTTTAATATATGACCAGGATTAATCTCCAGATGTCTTAAAAACCACTTTGCCTATTTCTTACTCATGAAAGCTAAGCCTCCCACCTTTCTTTATTATCCACATTTTCATTCCTGCCCTGTTCAGGTACTCCTTACTCAGAATCCATCCCCTACCAGGACAGCCCTTCCACCGTGCCCTGTGGAACTTTCAATCCATCCTTTAGCAAACTCACATATACATGCAGCCTGATTGATTTTATCTTCTTGAGCTGGATGATAATTCACCAAGGGGACCAGTTCTTCCCTGGCACTCTGACAGGCCCAAGTTGGTAAGCAGACAAAGAGTTGCCATCTGCCGATTCACTCCCCAAAAGCACTGATTCACTCTAGAACTGGAAGCAGGAGCTTCTCCCACAA